TGCATGTTTAAGGTCATATATAGGGTGTCAAGCAAACAGGCTGCTTTGTCCTGAAGTTGTGAGCATAAATCATCAAGGCAAGTGGAAAGTATTCAAACACAGACCTGACGAGTGCCTTGTAGATGGTGGACAGGCATAGGAGAAACAGGGATGAGTTACTCAAAGAGAATACTCAGCCTATATAAACCTCACTTGTAGCTCTGCTATTTACATGGTTATAAATAGGGCCTGACTCACTTGTTGACTGTGTAACCTTGATGCTCAAATAGAGGACATCAAAGCCATCCTGCAGGATAGTGGCTACCCCGATCAAACATTTATTGCTGTATATTACATAAACTCATAAAAGGACCTAAGGCTGTCACATAGTATCCTGAAAAGTGCCCTGTCTACCTCAGAATTCCCTGAAAGGGCTAGGTATCCTAAATTTTTGAGCACCAGGTGAAGTTAGCTGTCTCATATTGCTACTATGCAGCAGCAACATGAATGGTGTTCGACACCAATGGATGCTGGCATCAAGCAAAAATGATTTTCTGCCTATTGCAGAAATGTTTAGAGTGAGATCTAAATTTCAACGTTGGTGTGATGTCAGGCATGCTGGCCGTACATCACAAAGACTGGTGGATCATATCAAATGGCACAGCCCTTTGGCAGTTCATAACAAGCAAGGTACTGACTGTACCCGACTAGTCTGTGATTACAGGGTTCACAACACAATATCCAATGTTAAATGTGATTCTGCAATCGGACAACATTTTGCTAAATAATCCTGAATGTGTGAAGATTTACGCTGACAGTCAAGTGAAGATTATTAGTCAGTTTTGCAGTATGACATACTATGTGTGCTTGAGGTTACATACATAAGTACACAGATGGAAAGAACACGCATGCACACTGTGGCTGTTCAGTTCAACAAAGTATGTTCTGGTTCATTTCTAGGAAAATGTCTTGACCAATCTGAGTCAACCTTTTCTGATGAAGGGTCTAGGCCCGAAACGTCAGCCTCTCTGCTCCTATGATGCTGCTTGGCCTGCTGTGTTCATCCAGCCCTGCACCTTGTTGTCTTGGATTCTCCAGCATCTGCAGTTCCTACTATCTCCGAATCGACCTGCCTGCTTTAAAGTTTAAGCAAAGTTTGACTGATAACTGCCAAACATCATCTAACTAGTGGATTCTGCATGGCAACATGTTTACAAGTCAATATCTACTGGCCAACCAATTAGAACTCTTCTCTCATACAGAATTCCCTTGGCATTGGCATCTCATGCAAATTGTTCTTATGAGTGTGAGACAAAAAACTTCGACAAAATGTACCTTGTATCAGCAATAATTAAGTTCTGTACTATCAAAAAACTACTTTTCAACAATATTGATATCCATAAAGCATGTCGATGCTGGGGCATCTAAGCAGTGCTAATTTTGGTGAATGTAAAAAGGAAATTCACTTAGACTCATTGTCAGGCACATGTATGAAACAAATATCACATACCACATACCAGGTCGACCCATTGTCTCCACCTGCTCCTGCCCCACCGAACTCGTCTCCACTTATCTCGACTCCATTTTGTCCCCCTTGGTCCAGAAACTCCCCACCCACGCCCTCCACCTCCTCCAAAACTTCCGATTCCCTGGTCGCCAACACCTCATCTTTACCATGGACGTCCAGTCCCTACACACTTGCATTCCCTATACAGATGGCCTAAAGGCCCTCCGCTTCTTCCTGTCCCACATGCCAGACCAGTCCCCCTCTACCGACACCCTCATCCGCTTAGCTGAACTCGTCCTCACCCTCAACAACTTCTCCTTCAATTCCTCCCACTTCCTACAGACAAAGGGGGTGGCCATGGGTACCCGCATGGGCCCAAGCTATGCCTGCATCTTTGTAGAATACGTGGAACAATCCCTCTTCCAAAGCTACACTGGCACCATCCCCCACCTCTTCCTCCGTTATATCGATGACCGTATCGGCGCCGCTTCGTGCTCCCACGAGAAGCTCGAGCAGTTCATCCATTTCACTAACACCTTCCACCCCAACCTTAAGTTCACCTAGACCATCTCCGATACCTCGCTCTCCTTCCTGGACCTCTCTATTTCCATCTCTGGCAACCACCTGGAAACCGATATCCATTTCAAGCCTACCGATTCCCACAGCTACCTAGAGTACACCTCCTCTCACCCACCTTCCTGCAAAAAGGCCATCCCCTATTCCCAATTCCTTCGCCTCCGCCACATCTGCTCCTGAGATGAGGCATTCCACTCCCGTACATCCCAGATGTCCTCGTTTATCAAGGACTGCAACTTCCCCTCCACAGTGGTCGAAAACGCCCTCAACCGTGTCTCTCATATTTCCCACAACTCATCCCTCACACCTCCTCCCCGCAATAACAACCAAAACAGAATCCCCCTCGTCCTCACGTACCACCCCACCAACCTCCGGATCCAACGCATCATCCTCTGACACTTCCGCCATCTGCAATCCGACCCCACTACCAAAGACATTTTTCCCTCCCCACCCCTATCTGCTTTCCGGAGGGACCATTCTCTCTGTGACTCCCTTGTCCGCTCCACACTCCCCAGCAGCCCCACCACCCCCGGCACTTTTCCCTGCAACCACAGGAAGTGCTACACCTGTCCCTACACCTCCCCCCTCACACCCATCCCAGGCCCTAAGAAGACCTTCCACATCAAACAGATGTTCACCTGCACATCTGCTAATGTGGTATACTGTATCCGCTGTTCCTGTTGTGGCCTTCTTTACATCGGGGAAACCAAACGGAGGCTTGGAGACCGCTTTGTGGAACACCTACGATCGGTTCACAACAAACAACTGCACCTCCCAGTCGCGAACCATTTCAACTCCCCCTCCCACTCCTTGAACGACATGTCTATCCTGGGCCTCCTGCAGTGTCACAACGATGCCACCCGAAGGTTGCAGGAACAGCATCTCATATTTTGCTTGGGAACCCTGCAGCCCAATGGTATCAATGAGGACTTCACAAGCTTCAAAATCTCCCCTCCCCCTACTGCATCCCAAAACCAGCCCGGCTTGTCCCCGCCTCCCTAAGCTGTCCTCCCACCTATCCACTTCTCCCACCTCAAGCCCCATCCCCATCTCCTACCTACTAGCTTCATCCCGCCTCCTTGACCTGTCCGTCCTCCCTGGACTGACCTATGCCCTCCCTAACTCCCCACCTACACTCACCTTTACTGGCTCCAACCCCGCTTCCTTGACCTGTCTGTCTCCTCTCCACCTATCTTCTCCTTTACCCATCTTCTATCCGCCTCCCCCTTTCTCCCTATTTATTTCAGAATCCCCCTCCCCTCCCCCATTTCTGAAGAAGGGTTTCGACCTGAAACGTCAGCTTTCATGCTTCTCTGATGCTGCTGTGTTCATCCAGCTCTACACCTTGTTATCTCACATACCATTTATCAGCCCAAGTCTGAATATGTATATATATATATATACACGTCATTAAATTTACATTTTTTTTGCCCCGTTGGCACAAACTGCTTCAATATCCACAAAGTTGCAAATGAGTTGCAAATAATCGCTCCCACTTTTGATCTTATGACGGATGGCAAGACATCGATGGAGTGGCGACACGAGAGGAATTCATAATGTTGTTAAAAGAGGGAATTTGAGGGCATTAGTTTGCTTGCAGTAAAGTCAACCTGAAGCAGTTTCCAAAATAAATTAGCTCTAATTATAATAATTTGCAGCAAAAAATTCTTTTGACATAGGACAAAAAGTGAGCTCACATGGATGTGATCCAATATTTAATAATAAATACATGTGTTTTAAGTGAGACAATATCTCATTCTCTAACAGTGTAATAGGGAGCTTTTCCATCTTTTCATGAGATTGACAGTGATGTCATCAATAAAATGGAATTTACAAAAATTCACCTTTTATTGTTTAACAACAAATTACAACCAAAAATGAGGTAGAGTTGCCATTGTCCCACTCTCTCATTAGAGAGGGAGGACTGGTGGTGGTTTAACCTGAGGGGCAACATGCCTCAGGTGAGGGGAGAGACTGAGAAGGGGAATCCTTCATGGTAACCTCAGACAGTGCAGGAATTGAACCCATGCCATTGACATCCCTTTCTAGTGTGCTAATATCATCATTAATTAGCGTAGAGTCATCAAATTGTACAGAACAGAAACAGAACCTTCAGTCCAACTCGTCCATGCTGACCAGATATCCTGAATTAATTTTGTCCCTTTTGCCAGCACTTAGCCCATATCCCTCTAAACTCTTCCTATTCATGTACCCATAGAGATGCCTTTTCAATGTTGTAATGTACCCACCTCCACCACTTCCTCTGGCAGCTCATTCCATACATGCACCAATCTCTGCGTGAAAAAGATGCCCCTTCAGTCCCTTTTAAAACTTTCCCCTCTCACCTTAAACCTCTAGCTTTCAACTCCCCTATCCTGGTAAAAAGACCTTGGCTATTCACTCTATTCTTGCCCCTCATGCTTTCATGAACTTCCATAAGGTCACCCCCTCAGCCTCTGACGCTCCAGGGAAAATAGCCCCAGCCTATTCAGCCTCTGCCTATAGCTCAAACCTTCCAAACCGGGCAACATCCTTGTAAATCATATCCATCCCACCACCATTTCTTTCTTTCCTATCACCACAGTGCCACTGGAGCATACGGCTGCTCGAGAGAGAGGACTGGTGCTGGTTTAACCTGAGGGCCACCCCATCTCAGCCAAATTGATGGCTAAGGAGAATACCTCATGGCAAACTCAGCGGTTGCAGGATTTGAACCCATGCTGCTGGCATCACTCTGCATAACATGCCAGCCAACTGAGCTAAACGATGCCAACAAGCAATATCAGACACCAAATTAAAACTCTTGAGGAAGGAGGTGGAACCAAATAGAATTATGGCATTTCCAATGTTGGTGATGCACTACATTGCCTCCAGGGGGCGGAGGCCTTTCCCTTCAGCGCTCTGGGTGCTGCCCGGTCAGTTCCGGCGGAGGCTCACATTCCTGTAAAACAGGCAGGGGCTGGGTCAGGGATTGGGGGGAGTGTTTTAAATGTAGGACCAGGAGGGTACAAGATGGCGGGTAGGGGAGAGTTGATTCCTAGTTATTTAATTAATGTATTTATTTGTTTAACTGTACTCCCACCAATTGGTTTTGGTTTTGCTTTTAATTATTCGAAGAGGGCGATGTGTAAATGTTATCGCAATTTTTTTTGTGTGACGGAGGGTTGAAGGAAAAGTTTAATTTCTAAACCCTGACGGTTTCTGGAGCTGGTGTATTTTTTTTTCGAATTTCCGATTGTTGGAAGGGTTTTAATTGTTTATTTTTTTTTCTTTCTCTTTCTTCCCACCGGCTTTGTTTGTTTTTTAAAAAAAAACTTGCTGCAGATTTGTCGTTGGTGCAGGAGGAGCTGCAGGAGGATCTGGACGGATGTGAGTGATGAGTGAGTGGGCCTGGCGGGGAGGGGTTGGGGGTTGGGGGTGAGGTCGGTGGTTAAGGTTCTGACGACTCTTTTCTCTCTCCTCCTCACCCGCTCCCTCTGTCCCTTCTTCATTCGGGAATTTGTGGCAGGATCTAGGTTTTATCGAGCAGATCTGTCTCCCCACCCTGAAAGAAAAACAAAACCGTTTCGGCCTCAGATTAAAGGGGGAGGGGGGAGATGTGGAAAGCAGCGATAAACTTCTTTTCTGCAATAACTTGCCAGTGTTTGATTCTGTGTAGAATGTATTTGACAGAGGAGAGTCCGACTTGGACACTGTGGTGGAAGCGGAAATGCTGAAGCCTAGAATTTGGAAGAGATAATGGAAGTTTCTTTTTAGAAAAAAACTGGATTGTATGGAGTCCATCTTCGTCTTTTTTTGGGAGGGAAAGAGAAAGGAAGCTGAGGTTTTATGGAGAGGAAATTGGGGGTTTTATTTGTCCTCCGATCGGGAACACATTTCCTGGAATTGCGTGCTGTCAGTTTGTCTGCCAAAGTGCTAGTTGAAACTGTTTGACTGGTATTATCATTTCACCAGCTTTATTCAGCAGTGCGTTGGAGTTGACTGTTACATACATGTGAAAACTTAGAAGTAGTTGCCAAATTAAGGCAGTCCAGTTGATTTCTTTTGCTCCATTGTTGGGTAATGAGGGATGTTCTCCCAGTCCCTAGTCCAAGTGGCCATTTTTCATGTGTAACTTGGATGGCAAGCGGTACTAGGTAGTTTGATTGCACTATCGTTGAGCTTGCTGCTCATCCTTATCAGATGTTCAAAACATAGTTCCAATATCCATCAGGCTCAGACAATATCTGTTCTAGGTTTAAAAAAAAAACCCATCTAACAATTTTGGCAATTTTACCACTGCTGCTGACCATAACTTGTGAACATACTGAAAATCTGAGAATGTTAATGTCTGCATGATTTGGATTTTAATAGAAGAATAGAGAAAAGCCATTGCCATTTTTATTCTGAATTTTCTTTTAAAATTTTTCACAGTTACAGCGGCACACTTTTTATGACATTCTGAAAATGCAAACAATGTTTTGAATGTGAATGTTGGAATATTTTACAATGAATTGAATATTAATTTTTAAGTTGAATTATAAATGTTTGAAATTGTCAAATGTTGCACCAGTGTGTGCATAAGCCAGTTACTTCTGAATCCCTTTCAATTTGTATATTTGCGAGCAGCTGGCATCTATTTTTGAATGTCCTTTAGACTTTTTATACATAGGTGCAATGTCTGAATCAGTAACATGTATGTATATACATACGTTATGTTTTATATGCATATGTTGTCAATACACAAGTACAAGTACATAAGTATTTTGGCAAAATATGTGTTTATTCAGATTTGTGTCATGATCCCTGTGCTAAGTAATGACTGTGTACATATTGCATCATGGCTTTGCATGCGTATGTGCACAATGGACGAGCAGCTTTTAACTGTGCTGTCCCTGTGGACTGAAGACTCATTGAATTTCTTGGTCTCAACTAAGCTGACAAAGCTGCTAAGTGTAAATTGACATGTTTCCTCACAATTGAAAGGCCAGAGATTTGAGTTTATGTGCACCTTGTTTTGCACGCCAGACCTTGAAGTTGCATTGTCAGAATCCTATAGTTGTCAATACTTGGTTCAGAAAGTTAGCAAAAGGAGAGAAAAGGAAAATAGATGAGTGCGCTCGGGGAGCTTGTTTGTGTATCTTTCTTTCGTTGTTTTTGCAAATATTTAAATTTTCACTACAACTACAAGTTGGCAATAACCTAGGATTCTGTAATGTTGTTGAAGTCTTCACCTCTTTAAGATAATTAAGGGAAGGCAAGGCAAGGAGGTATCACATCGCTTTATGATGCATATGTATTTCAGAAATGGATCTGTCATCCTAAAATAGCACCAATGTGGTAGCAACTGAACCCCATGTATTTTGAGAGTAGTTCCTACATCAACATGAGGTTGAAGCAAACTTTGACAGGTGCATTTGAATTTCCCTATTTGTAGACTTTGACAGATTTATTCAAGAGGGTAACATCAGTCAGCAAGAGTTAAAAGTATTTGGCTTTGTGTAATTATTTTAATCGATTTGTTCAGTTCTCTTACAATAAACTTATGGAGCAGGTGGTACTTGAATCCAGGCTTTCTGGCTCAGAGGTAGTGGCATCACCTCTGTGCCACACAAACCCATTTTACTTTCATTGGTGTTATATCTGTTTGGTCTTGTCAAATGTAGATGGTACATTTGTTTATTTCTAACTACAAAATGATGAAATAAATGAATTTCATGAGTAACTTGGACTTCGAAATATTAGAGGTCTTTCATCACAAGAACCAAAACACTGATTTTCAGTTACCAATTCAAATATCCTTGCTATGAGAGTTATTTATAAGCAGTTTAAATTGAGTCAGAAGGCAGATATCCTTTTGTTTGATTGCAAAATTCTATATTAACTTTTGCATCTGAAAAAGAGGGACCAAGGCAGCATATAGCAAAGATTAACTGTGATATGGGGCATTATGAACAAGTAAAAAGGAAAGGGGCTGACTTGGAGCCAGAAAAGAAATTACTTAATGGCAGAGAGCATGCCCGTGATATTAAATGTTTTTCGATCCACTCCCCAATGTGCCTGATTCTCAAGCCCCACTCCTGGGGTCCCCACAAAAGTTAGTGATTTAATGATTGCACTCCCATTTGTCAGGTTACCTGTTGGAATCAAGTTAACAGAAAATACTGACCAACTTCCTGTACTTAACATGAGCTACTGTTTATTCTAAATAAATTGTAATCATAAGTAAACAGCTATGAGCTATTAGCAGATGGCTCTACTCGTTAAAAACCTAACCATCTTCAAAAACTCATACAGATGTAGGTAAACAATAAAAAAAATTGCAGGAGTAAAATGGAACCATAGTTAAATTGTGCCCATCCACATCATTCATTGAGATGACCCTTTCGCTTGCCAGGGCTTTGTTCTTCTTCTCTTTTTCTCCCTCCAGGCTCCTTCGCTTTGTACAAGGCATGGCATAACTAGTACACTAACTTAAAATGTCTCTTAGCAGTTGTCTTGAATCAGTAACTTGTCAAAAATGATGGGAGAAAAATTGACTTCCTTCAAACTCCAGATAATCTTACTGTAGAGAAGTGCACACACAATTTGTCCTTCCAACATTCTGAAGGCTTTTTTCTGTATTGTTCATGCCCATGAGCTGTTCAGCTTCCCCGGAAACAGAGTTGTCATCACCTTTTGGCATTCATGACTGCTATGTGTAATTGCGACCAATCAGCTACTTGTTGCTGACCAAAATTAATTCTGTGTGCACACCCTGGTGTGTCTTCTACAAATGGCTTCTCACATGGCATGAACAAAGTAGTCGTGTGAACACCACAGTTTCAGTAACTTGTTTTTAAAAGTGTAACAATTTCTCCCACAACCCTTGGTTTTAAAATTGGATGTAAGCATAAGTCAAAGGAAGTCTTTTAAAATGTTGCTAGCTTTTCAAGTAGAAAAGCTACCTGGCACAGGAAGAAATAGCAACAATCTCTTTGACACTACCTAATCTTCAGTATTTCCACATTCAGGGACTAGAAAATTGCAGATGTTTTACCCTTGTTCCCACCAAAAAAAAAGCACAGGATTAAAAAGAGCCCATTGTAATGATGGTTCTGGAGACCGCACAGTATATGAGCCAAAATTCCCTTTCAGTTGCAAACACATTTGAACAATAAATGATCATTGACTTGAATTTGTTTGAGATGTACTATTTCTGATAAATGTGATTGAGTTCTATGTTGAAATAATGACGATTGTTATGAAAATAGTGCAGTTAATGATCTGTAGATGGATTCTGAAAAGATATTTGCTATGTGACCATAAAATAGGCTTCACCTTTGTTAACAAGTCTGTGCCATTGTCTCTAAATTACAATGTGGGTGCTAAGCAGTGCATGTTGGTGTTCCCAGCAGGGTTACAAACAGAACTACTTCAATATTTTTAGTAATTTTCTGGAAATGGGTATTCACAATTTTTCAAGTTTATTGATAATAAAATGTGCTTGTATGTGAGGAGTACAGTACGAGTTCAGTTCAGAATGATATACTAGTAGAATGGGCAGAAACATGACAGATATCAAAGGTGTGCAATTTATGTATTATGTTACAAAGAATTAGGAATGGCAGTGGGAAGTAGATGACACGACTTGAAGGGGTTGCAGGAACAGCCAGCTAGGGATTGGCACAAGCCTTCAACATTTCACTATAGTTAAAAATGACAAGTGAAACAGAGCTGCATATTGTCAGCAAGCTTACATGTCATTTTATGTATCACAGTGAATAGTGTTATTTGGGTCTGGAAATTGCATAGGGACATGGATAGATTGTAAGTGGGCAAATCTCTGGCAGAAGAGTTCAATGTTGAAAGGTGAGAGGTCATCTCGATCTGAGAAAGACAGATCAGAGCTCTTCAAAATAATGAGACAGCAAGAACTGTGTGCAATGAGGGAGAGTGGGGACCAAGTATAGGAATTATGAAAAGGTTAGTGGTGTTGTAGAGACAATAATTTAGGCCAATGGAATTCTGGCTTTTACCTAAACTGTTTGGGCTAAAGATATATGGGACCTATATGGGACTCCGGTTAGATCCATCTGGAGTACTGTATTCAGTTCTTGATGCTGCATGTTTGGGAAGATATATTGACTGTAGGAGGAAATGAACGTTGAGGGGATTTGACCAGAGTTCTGACACACACGCACACACCCGAAAGCTGATATCGATATATCAGGCATGCTATACCTGTTTTATGAGTACATGTAGTACAGATTTATTTGAAAGATATTGGCTCTAAAAGGGCTACATTATGAGAACAGGTTACAAAGGTCAAGCTTGTATTGACTTGTACAAAGATTGAGGGTGATATAATTGTGTTTCGGATAGTTTCTCGCCATCTGGTCTTTGAACTA